GTCTGCCCGCAGCGACACCGGCCTTCTGCTCCCAGCCAGGGGCTGGCGGCGGCACAGCCGGCACCGGGTGTGCCCCAAAGCCTGCCCCCGCCTGGGAGACACCCGGAAAGCAGGGCGGCCCTGAGCTGACCCTGTGCACAGCCCCAAAAACTGGGTCAGGAGCAAAGCAGCCCAAACTTCCACCCTGGCGCAGTGACCACCGGGCTGTGGCATCACTCACTGGTGAGCTGAGTTTGGCAGGGCTCAGTTGGTGCATCCTCCCTGCTGCAGCATTTCTTAGATTTGGGCAGAGAGGGAGGATCAGACTCAGAGAGGATCTCCAGGACAGCATTCCACAGGGAAAGGGACACCACAGTGGGTCTGTCCTGCCACACCAACCTCCTCAGGGCTGGTTTCCAGCTCACAGATCCCACCAGGGGACACCGGCCACGTGTCACAGGCAGCAGGCTGGTGAGAGGCCACACGAGTTCTGCAGCTTCAACCTGTCACCTCCACCCAGCACGTGGCCCTGGCTCCATCCCCACCGTCCGTGCCCTCCCCGGGCTCACAGCTGCTCTGGGGTGCAGCGGCAGCAGCAGCAGCCACCGCCACCACGCGTCACCCCGGCTTTCTCTGCCTCGCTTGCTCCCGTCCCACGCAGCCCAGCTGGCTTCCTAACACTGCTGCTTAATTAAAACCAACTGGGTGGAAAGCGAGCAACGAGAGGCAGAGCCCGCGTGGTTTCTGACAGAAAACGGATGGAGCGGAGCCGCGCACCCCGGGCCGTGCCGCAGCCAGGAGCCGGCACCTTCCCCGTGTCCCCAGGACTCACCGGCATACCCTGGGTCGACATGGGGAGGGTAAAACCCAAACTTGATGAAGATGGGGATGGGGACGCCGAACTTGAACCACTCCACGACATAGGGAGGGGGCTGTCCCGTCAGCGGGTGGATCACGTCGCATGGCAGGATCACGCTCTCGCCAGCGCGAGCGGTCACGAACTCGGGCTCCTCCCTCGAGCCGAGGGCACCTGCGGGGGGGGCGAAGGAAAAAACTGTGGCTGATCCCACTGCTGGTCCCCAGCRTGAGATCAGGACCCCCAGAAGAGCCACAGCAGAGGCACTGCCCATCCCCAGCCACCTGTCTCCAACACAGGCAGCCCCTGGCTATCCCTTGCCCCAAAAACAATGGGGTCCCAAGCCTTTCTACTCAGCTCCAAGGCAACCCCGAGTTACCACAGGGACAGTGGCCATCAGCACACTCTGCTCCAGGACAGCTTCCCAACCTCTGTGCCAGGGTGATGTCCAGCAACCCCATAAGTGTTTTGAGGACCTCTTTCTCTCAGTAGAAAGGGGCACAGAGCATGCCTAACACTGCTCCCCACATGGCAGCACCATCCGGGCTGGTATCCCTATGGCAGGGAAAATTTCAGCTTGTGCCCCTGCATCCTCCAGCGGGTGGCACTGAGCTTTCAGGGGCTACTGACCACAGCTCTGCTGTGCCAGCCCACGGATCCAGCTCTCCCGCCGGTGCCAGGGTGGGCTGGGCCGCCAGAGCAGCGATGCTCCAGCCAAGCCCGCATGTCCTCGGGCATCCCCGAGAGCCCCACGCCTGAAACCCGTCTGCGACCTGCGCGTCGGGTCTGTCACCCTGCCCCTCCCGGCTGGGTAATTACAGGGGACTTTGGTCTCAGCTCCCAGGCTGCTCCACCCCGGCTGTGCCGCCCTGCTCGCTGCAGCCTGGCGTCATCCCGCTCTGCCGGCAGCAGCAAAGCTGCATCCTCAGCACAGCGTTCGGAGAGGGAGAGCGAGGGAAACCCAGGGCTGGGGGGAAGCCAAACGGGGGGTCCCCAAAACTAGGTTCAGACCCACATCGCCCTGCCCATCGAGGAAGGGCTCCCCGTTTTCCTGGCACACGCGGCCGCTGCCTGTTCCGGGGGGGATGCTCGGGGAGGGATGCTCGGGGAAGCACGTTCCCACTCCTCCGCGCTGCTCCTCGGGGCCGCCGGTGATTGGCGGCGAGTGACATCACCGCTTCCCCGCCGCGGGAGCCGAGCATCACCGAGCATCACCGGCTATTTTTGGCTCTGGCACAAGCGCGTACCGGCGAGAGGCCCGTGATGTGCCACCCCACGGGCCCACCAGCCCAGCGTCCCCGCAGGAAGGACACGGGCAGAGCCGGCCACGCACAAGGTGGMCACTGCAGAGGGGCACAGCCCGATGGTCACCCCAGCGTCCTCAGCCCCCACGCCACCAGCAAACTGGGCACGGGCGGCTGTTGAGCTGGGAAGGCGGGCTGGTGGCACGGGGTGGGTGAGGAAAGCCATCTGCAAAGAGCAGCTGCTGCATTGCACACCCTCTGCAGGCACCCGACCCTGCTGCAGGGGTCCCACAGAGCCGGGGTCCCACAGAGCCGGGGGGTCCCAGAGCCGGGGTCCCACAGAGCCGAGGGTCCCACAGAGCCGGGGTCCCACAGAGCTGGGGGTCCCACAGAGCTGGGGGTCCCGCAGAGCCGGGGTCCCTGCAGAGCCGGGGGGTCCTGCAGAGCCGGGGGTCCCACAGAGCCAGGGTTCCCACAGAACCGGGGTCCTGCAGAACCGGGGGTACCGCAGACCCGGGGGTCCCGCACAGCCCCAGCTGTACCCGGAGCCCACCGGGGCTGGGGGAAATCGCTGAGCACACACGTGCAATGTGCACGCACACCCCCACACACACTTTGCACCGCCTCGACAACACTCTTGCACCTTTCCATCCCTCGTTAGCGCTGCATCGCCGATGAGCTCCCATTCGCACCCTGTCAGCAGGGACGGTGTCAGCCCTCCCCTGCCACCCCGGCGCTGAGCTGTGAGAAGCCGTCCTGACCCCGCTGTGCCCATCCGGGGAGGGGTGGGGGCTGCACTGCAGGGCTGGATCCCCCCTCGCTGCCCGTGGTCCTCCTGCACCGATCGGGGACAGCGGCTATCACGTGCTGCTCAAGAGCATCCAAGGACACGCTTCCCCGGCCGCCTTGCCCGAGCGAGCAGGTCCCCAGCACCTCRCCGCCTTCAAAGCGACATCCTCTACCCAGCAGAAGGAGAAAATGGAAGGGGCAGCTCCCCAACCCCTTCCCGAGCCCCCCACCCACCCCAGYGCTTCAGTTCCTGGGGTATCGGGATGGAATCTTGGTTTCCAGCAGCTCACCACCAACCGGAGCCTGGAATGCTGAGGTTCGCCCAGCTGGAGCGAGCTCGCTGCCCAAGAGGCCACCCAGACACCCYGGGGATGGGCGCCAGGGAGTCACACCACGCCAGGAACCCCTGAGTGGCTCCCTGGCAGAGCAGTGGGTGACGTCCCCGGGCAGGGGACGAGCCAGCCGCTCCGCCGGACCCACGCCTGGCCAGGGCTGCCCGGGCACAGGAAAATAGGTCATCCCCGGCAGCTCGCAGCGCCGGTGTCTGATCGCAAGGCCGGTGGGGAATTGCACGCACGGCTGAGCATCGCCTCCCCAGCGCACGGCCGACTGGCAGCCACGGCAGAGAACCGGCCCCCGGCTCTCCCCAGCTGCCACCCGCCCCGCTACCGGCCCCGTGCCCTCCTGTCCCCACTTCCAGAGCGCCAGCAAAGCCATGGGGAGATGCCTCACAAACCCTCTTTGGGTCTCCTCAACTTCCCAGCCCATCAACCCTGCGGTCCCAACCCYGGCCAGGTTTTCCTTCCAAGTCCAGGCCACGAAGAAAGCGAGCAATGGAGACTGCAGCTCTTGATTCAAAGTGTTTTCTCACCCCCACATTCGTAGGGAAACGCTTGAAAACAACCCGCAGACGCCAGAAGAAACAGAGCACAAATAGACRGGGTATTTTTAAACCCACTTGATTTTCCCAGCCAAGTTCAGAGAGGTTTCAAGGCTTAACCCRCAGTTTGGAAACGGGGTCAACATCAGGGAACGGCAGCAGGGATGCGAACCCCAAACCCGCCTCGGTGCAGGAGCTCACGTGAAGCTGGGGGATGCCTCGTAAAGAAAAACAAGTAAATCAACAGGCTTCGTCATCCAAGCAGATCCAGGAAAAATAAAAGCACGCCGCGTGCCAGGAGGCAAGAATACAAGATGCGGAGGTGGAGTTGAACAGCATCCCAAAGGGAGAGGAGGGAAGGCTGCCGCCACCGAGACGGTGCCACCGCGGGGCTCCCCAGCATGGTGATGCCAAGGATGGGGAGACCCTCGCTTGGATCTGGGCATCCAGCTCCTCCCAGCCCCAGGGCAGAGGTGGAAGGTGCCACGGGGCTYGGTGAAGATGAAGGCATCTCAGGTGCACTCGCTGGAGCAGGAGCCTTCGTRCAGGTGCTTCGTGAGAAGGACGCGGCCATGGCAGAGTGGTTTCCAAAGGAATTAACGCCTGGCAAGGCTTTCCTGCCCGGCCCAGTGGACACCCATGCCCTGGGGCACAGAGGGGATGCTGTCCTGACCCACCACCGCCTTGCAGCCTGCTAACAGAGGCACCACTATCCATTTCCAGTGCTGCCCCACACCCCTGGCCCCTCCATGGGGACAGCTGAGGGTGCAGGAATGAGGCCCGGAGCCTGTGGACCTCTCCTCGCTGCTGAGCCGAGACGAGATGTGCTCTGACACCTCCCGCTCACATCGGTGGAGGCGGGATATGGCAGGGATCTCTGAGGACAAGGCCACCAGCGTGGCATATGGAGGCCAGCAGGGAAGGAGAGCAGGCAGCCATYGCCATGAAATGAAGAGGGAGGCGACTGCAGCGCAGGGTAGGGGACAGGGACAGTGTGCTGCAGGGACCCTGGCTGCCAGGGCAGGGTGGGGGTGCTGGGAGATCTCCTGCCCCCCACTTCTGCAGCCCCCCTAAATATCTCAGTGGGGGCTGCTCCCCATTACAAACCCAGTCCCTCTGCCTGTCGTGGGGTACCCAGAGCCCSCCAAAAGCATCCCCCTGTCCCCTGGTTGGGGGCAGCCCCGGGGCCGGGAGCGCAGCCCTCACCCCCTCCCCCAGCTGGAAAGCAGCATCTGGGCTTTCAGCGCGATTCCTGCGTTTTAAACCCGATTTTCCAGATGGATGGAGGGCGACGCGCAGGTCAAGTGACATGCCTCAAGGTCACRCGGGGCCAGGGAGGAGAAGGATTAGCAGCTCTGAGGGGTGGCTCGGYGCCCCATTCACAGCGAGATGGGGATCAGAACCCCATTCCTGGGCATGAGGGGTGCCACCACCACCATCCCCAGGCAGGCAGGCAGCTGCCCTGGCATCCCAAGGGGAATGCATGCATGGGATGCAGCCCCACAGTGGGTTCTTGCTCCCTGGAATRGCACAGGTGGGAATGTGGCTGGCCRGGCAGCAGCTCAGCAMGCACATGGGAGCACAGGGTGGTGCTCTGAGAGGTACAGAGATGGAACAGGTATGAAAATGACTTCTCTGAGGTCACCCTACTCCCACCGGGGGGTCCCCTGTGCCCCCTCCCTCTAATCGCCACCAGCCCCGTGCAGAGCATCCCCAGGTACCACACAGCAGCTGCCTCGTGGGAGGCATCATCTCCCAGCAACGACGGGCAGAGCTACCTGTGCGCTCCCCGTGAGCTCCCTCCGTGTGCCACGGGGCCGAACGAGCAGCTGCACTGTGGGAGCTGGAGCTGAAACCCATCCCAGAGGAGACCTCCTGCAGCTGGAGAGCGCTGCCAGGGTGCTGTGCCCCCAGCCCAGCCCCACATGGCACCAGCATCCCCTGCCGGGCTGGCATCGCCCTCCCCACAGAGCAGCGGGTACCATCCCGGTGCCTTCACAGCCCTCCAACAGGAAACTGGGATGCAGGCAGCACTCCGAGCTGCCCGCCAGCAGCTCCTGAATCACGCTGTTCCTGGCTCAGGCAGCCCTCCCACCAACGCCAGCCTCTCCATGGAGGAGCGGGAGGAAGGGAGTTGTTTTTCCAAAGGCCAGCTGGGCGCTCCGGGCTCCCGGCTYGGGAGATGCCTACCGCAGGGAAAGGGAGAGGAAGGGCTCCTCCATCAGCGTGGCACGGGCTGGGCCCGCTGCCTGCCCATCTGC